ATGGCCTAGTGGGGCATGGGGAGATGGACAAGAACGTGCTTTGCTGTGCTGGAGCAGCAGCATGTTGGCCCAGGGGAGCCTGGATGAGGACCTCCGTGTAGTCACTCCGTGGAGGGGAATGCACTGGGCTGGACTGAGTATAGAGCCCCGTGTGGCGGGACTTGGGGACAGGACCACATTGCAGGAGCACCGGTACATCTGACACCACTGTGCAGAGTATCACACGTCTGCCAGTCAGTATTTATGTAGCATCAGTGATGGAGTCAAGCAGGTAGCAAAAATACATTAAAATTGTAACATTTTACTATAGAATATAAGTTATGATGATTATACAAAAATATAATAATTATATATAGTATAATTATAGTCAGTCTTTAGCTGTATTTAATTACGAATAGCTTTCCTTTTCTCCCCCAAATGATTAATTTGAAAACAACTTATTGTGTTCTAGCAGCAAAGGCCCTGCAGCCCCTGTGCGGAATTCCAGTGTCCTTTGTGTCCCACAGTTGCTGCCTGTCTGGAAGGCTTTTGGTGTGCGTGTGGAGAAAACCACAGGGGCAGGCCAGGGCTTCTGCCAGCCTGGGTTCTGCTCCTGCGGTGGTGTGGCTTCTGTATTCTAAAGGATGGGTGTCCGGATGACAGATCACGTCTGCTCAGCAGTCTCTAACCCTGGCAAAGACTTGCTGCCCATTGCTGGCCACAGTATGCGCATGGGGAGATTGTGTTTTTACTATAATGCTGATTTCAAGGAGAATTCTTTTCATATTTCATAGAAATAAAATGTTGAAATTTCAGTTTTTTTTCTTTTTTCTTTTTTTCCTTTTTCTGATGCTGGGGATTGAACCTAGGGCCTGCTGTTGGGCAAGCGCTCCTGCACAGAGCTATACCCCTAGCCCAATGTTTGAAGGTTAACCCTCACTTTGACACTTTGAAAATCCAGTATGTCCAATTGGAGAGTATTGCCAGTGCTTCTTAGTAAATGTTTGCCATAAGCCGTTTTGTTATTTATAATAAATGTATTGTCAAGAGATTTAGATGGGCTATTCCTACCAACTGTCAAAAACATAATAAATGTACTATCATAAATGTGGCTATCGTACAAGTGTCCACACTGTCTCAGAATGAAAGATTGAACCTGAGTGGTTTTTGGAGACAAGAATAATGCAGTTTAGGCATGAAGCCGAAGGTCATAGTTAGGACTGAGAATTCCAGGTAGAAGCAAGACAATAGTCATGTGGCTCTTTCTTGGTATACAGGTAGAGCAACAAATTATTTGCATACAGGTGATTGAGTTTGTGAGCAAAGGTGGTATATGATGTGAGCTTGGCGAGTTGGTTGGGGATTGGGATTCTGTGATGTGATTCTGTGACACTGTGTGGACTGTAGCCATACAGAACGGGGACAGTGTGAGGCTGGAGACCAACTCCTGAGCACTGATGCAGGGATGGCTTTGTCCCTGGGTGGCAGGTGAGGAGCTGGGCTTTTGCTGTGGCTCAGGTGGGATTTGTCTCCAGATGGCAGCAGGGCTTGGGGTGGGAAGTGGGGCTCAGGACAGAATAGGCTGTGCGTTGGTGGTTGTTGAAGCTGGGTGAGGGTGACATCAAGGGCTCCTAATGGCATCCCCTGTTAATTTTGTATATTTGCAAATTTTTTCATAACAAAAAGAAAGACTGAGCAAAACAAAAGCGTCTTTGAATATAGACCTGCTTTCAGAGCAGCACGGTGTGGAGTTGTCTCCGAGAGGTGTGGGAACCAGGGAGGGGCACTTCCCATCTCCCTGCACTGTGGGCCCCAGGTGCGTCCCAGCGTGATTTCAATCATGTCGTGGTTGAGTTCTATCCTGGCTTCTGTTGAGTGATCAGGTGTCTCTCTGAGACCTGCAATTGAAGAGACAAGGCGAGGAATCACAGGCACATGGTGGCTCCCTGTGTCCAGCTAGCCTTCAGACACTGGCGGGCGGGGGGGGTGGGCGGCAAGCTGAGGGTGCTGGTGGCTGGAGAGTGGGCTGTGCAGGTTCCAGGGAGTAGGGGCCCCACAGGAGGCCACGGTGTTGGCCCACTCAGGAGCCAGAGTGTCTGTAGGGCCCAACGGAGGGGTCTGCAGTGCAGCCCCTCCCTCCCATGGGCCCAGGCCTTTTTCAGAGCATGGTGTGGGAGTTGGATGGACAAGGCCACTTCTATGCCTGCGGAGTGTCCTGGGCAGTGCTGTACTGTGTTTCAGCCTCCTTACTGCAGAAGGGACGATAAAAGTTAATGGGGACACGTGTGTTAAGTGTGAGCGTAGGTCAAGGATGGTTCTTAGCTGAGGTAGGAGAATAGTGCAGAAGGGAAAGGGCTTGTAAGTCACCCAGACCTGGCTTCAGCTGCTGGTGAGACTTTGAACATGTCCCTTGGCCTCTGTGTTTGCCCTGCTATGTGGAACAGGTGAAATATCTGCTGTCCTTGGTGGTATGGGAGGGTCACCCAACATGGCGCACCAAAGTGCTCACACCCAGGGTCCAGCATAGGGTCCTCGGCAGCCCTTTCTGCCTCTGTGGTGCAGCCCTGAGGAGGCACTGAGGTGCTGTGGGTGCTCTCCTGTCAGCCCCTGCTGCCGGCTGTGGTGTCTTTTTGGTTTTGAGTGCTGCTTTGCTCAGGACTTGGAGCTTGGGTCAGGAGTAGGTGTTAAAGCCTGTATTGGTCACCAGTGGGTTTCTCATCCTTACACCTGGCTCTAAAGGAGGTGGACTGGGTGGCAGCTCGGGCTCAGCCTGCTGAGAGTACGGGGCTAGGGTCCAGAGCTTCGGGGAGCAGCAAGCCTTCTTTTGGACGTGTAGTTTTAATGCAGAGTTTGGGGAGCAATGTTGGGTTTGTGGCACAGCTGACCAGAAGATGGTGTGGCTGTTCCCCAGGCCTCACCTGGGGCACTGGTGTCCTGAGATTGCTGCAAATTGCAACTACAACTGGGTGGCTAAAACCTCTGAGCCGGAGTCGGAGGTCCAGGTGTGGGCACCTCGGGAGCCATGGCAGATCCCCCGTGTCTTGGAGACTGGAGACGGGTGTCACAGTCCTCAGCATTCCATGGCTTGTATTTGCCTCACTCCAACCTGTGCCTCCCTCTCACCTGGCCATCTGTCCTCCTCCTCATGTCCCACCCTGTTCCAGAATGACCCCATCTTAACTGGCGACATCAGCAGCAATCCTGTTCCAAATCTGGTCCCCTTGCTGGAGTGCTGGTCCTTGGCCTGTTGGTTGCACAGAGAGAACTCTCAGCACTTCTCCTGAGCTCCAGCTGTCTTTCTCCACATCCGCGTCAAGGGGAGCAGAGTGGTGACCCAGCATGGCCCAGGGCACTTCCCAAAAAGCCGCTCACAAAGGGTGCCCACAAGCTAGCTGAAAGCGTATAGGTGCCCAGACCCGAGAGGCCCTGCGCCTTTCTGCGGTAATCCTCTGTGGCAGCCGCTGCCTCTCCTCTTGCTGGCCATGGTGTCAGAATGATGTGTCCTGTTATCTCGGAGCACAGGCTGCTTCCCTTCCCCTGAGCTAAGAACTGTCTTATCTACATAGGCAGCCCGGGATGGGTGCTGACAGACGGGAAGAGACTATTAACGATTTTTAGGCCAATTGATTTTGCCCCTGTGAGGGTTCTGAATAATACAGAAAGTAGGATGTTTTGTACTTTCCTAACACATTTTTTAAGTTTTGCAAATTTTTCTTAGCTAAATGTTGGTAGGATTTTTTTTCTTTCCTAAAACTGTCCTAGGTGGTAGAGCAACAGTTATGCTTTAGGCTGCTCAGTGGGTAATCTTCAGTTTGTGAAGATTCCTGAGATTCGTTGCCAACTCGGGGTCTGTGAGGTTGGAACTGGGCTGATTCAGGGGGCCTGTGGCCCCCTCCCCCGGCCCCATCCTTCTACAGGCCAGACCCCGCTGGAGGTGCTCCATGGCAAGGCTAGAACCAGCGTTGTGTGGTGTAGATTCCAGTCCTGTGTTGTTCGTCGCCTCTCCCTGAACTTGGCCACAAGCTTTCTTGCTCTCTTGGACTTTTGGCTGTTGGTTGCTTTTGACTTCTGGGAATGGTGGCTTCCGGGCGGGTCCTTGCTGTGATGGCCTCAACGTCCCCTGCTACTTGTTCAGATACAGTGCTGGCCAGTCTGGCTGAGGGGGCTGCTGGGTGGGTCAGCATGCGCACTGTGACCAGCCCACCCTGCTTGAGAGCCCCCCCGGTGAGCCTTAGGCATCTTCTAGTGTGTTCTTGGGGGGCCTCTGAAACTGGCTCTCGCGAGCAGGGTTGTTCTTGCTCTCGGCAGTACTTGCTACAGCGGCTTTCTTCTTCCCAGTGTTACTTGGTACCGTCTTCCTTAATTTGTCTTTCTTTGTTAAAGTTTCCTATCATTAAACGTGATGCATGGCTCAGAGAGAGGGAGGAACACCAGCTTATGCTGTTGGTTCTTGGAAGATTATTTTGTATGCTAGGAAAGTTAACTAGTGATGTCAATTTTTTTTTTTTTTTTTTGTACTGGGATTGAACTCAAAGACACTCAACCACTGAGCCGCATCCCCAGCCCTATGTTGTATTTTATTTAGAGGCAGGGTCTCACTGAGTTGCTCAGTGCCTCACTTTTGCTGAAGCTGGTTTTGAACTTGTGATTCTGAGCCTCAGCCTCCAGAGCTGATGACAGTATTTTTATACTCTATGAAAATATAAATATGCAGTACAGTTTCACTTCTTGAATCTAAAACTAGTTATATTGACTAGATCGCTCAGTACTGAGGAACGTAGCCTTTGTTTTTTTCCAGAGCGTCTATGTTTCCCGCCTCACTTCCACTGTAATCTGTTATATTGAAAGAGTTGCAGAATTAAATGGTCCTGGGTAGCGATACTTTGCTAGTTTGTTACTTTGGTGCTTTGGTGAGTCAAACTCTTGCGGGTCCTGAATTGCTTTGTATTTCAATTCACTATTTGTGCTTATGTAAGAATTTTTAAAAATCTGATTTTTACATTTTATGTTTCCCATTTTAGTGTAGGAAAAATGACGATGGAGAGACGACTCTTATTGTTGAAAAGGACCATTTTATGGATGATTTCTTCCACCAGGTAAAAGCATTTGATGAAACTTAGTCATAGCCTTTTTCTTTAAACACAGTTATGCTGATGTAACGATGCACTTGCCATGTTTGAGATGATATTAAAGTGAGTGCAGTCACACACTACATGAATATCCTGGACAAAGGAGACCGTAGGTTTGATGGTGGACCCACAGGCCGTGCTGATTTGTCAGGTACACTTCATTATGCTCACGCAAGGAACAGCCCTTAATTTGGTCCCATTGTTGAGCGGTGCATGACTGTATTTTTAAAAAGTTGTTGTTTGCACTCGAAAGTTCTTTGGATTTTTACAACTATCAAGATGTTAGTTGGTATTGAGAAGGTTGAAGTGGTGGTTGTGCTCACAGCTGGTGTGAGGGTGGGTGTGCATAGCAGGTGAGGCTGCTGTAGCGAGCAGCGGGACTCCTCCCCAGGCCGGGGGACCTGTGCCCTGGGCAGAGTGGGGCCATGGCACTGCCCACTGTTCCCATACTTGTCTCTCAGTCGGAGCTCATGGTGCCAGACAGTACTTCCTGCCGCTCCAAGCCCCCTCAGGAGACCAGCCAGACCCTTTAATAAATTGTTCAAAGTTCTCACAGGACCTGAGGGCTCCTTAGTCCTTTGGAAAGCAGAAGTTCTAGCTGCAGAGGTTGAGCTGAACTCAGCAAGCATGGCATACACCAGCAGCCACTCTGTGTCCTTCACAGCCACACAGATCCCCTTAGAGTTCTTTGGGGCTAGAAGGGAACATTTGGTATGTTTTTAAGATCTGATGGAAAACTATATTTGCTTACATACAAGACTCTTAGGAGAAAGATTGTAAGTGATCTAGTGACTGGCGTTTAGACTGTGGAAGATTGTCAGAAGGGCCATTGTGAAAGCTCTGATCTGACAGTGGCCGCTTGGCCATGCCTCAGGTGTGAGTACCCAGACCCTTGGGAACCACGTCCCTCTAGCCCACAAGGCGTGCTCTTCCCCCACTGCTGCTTCAAGGATTATAACAGGTTTAATATTTGATCTAGTGTTGCATAATTGCAAATTTTCAAAACTCAGTCATAATACAAATGCTTAGTCAGTCATGAAGAAAAGAAACGTTCAGTGAATTTTTTCAGGGTGGAAGCTTCATTTCCAGGATTCATGTTGATTAGGCAGACTTTGGTCGAGTATTTGCAGTTAACTCCTAAAAACAAAGTGGTCAATCAATACATGGGTTTCAAAATACGTAATGTGTTAATAAAAACATACAGAGAGTTGGATTCAGTCCCCAGCATTGCAAAAACAAAAATATATAAAAAGTTAACGGTTTCTCTGATTCCACCAGAATTCTTGATTGTCTAAGTCTGCCACTGGTTTTCAAGTATTTGTTAGTTCCAAATTTTACCTAATGGGAAAAACATAAGAATAAATTGTTAGATGTAAGAACTATAGGAAGAAATTAAGAGACTGGATTGCTGACTTGACTTCTTGGAGACAATTCTTGATTGCCTTGGGTCTCTCTGCCACTCAGTCAATTATGATGTTTCCAACACCTTTACCCGGGTGCTCAGCTCTTTGTAAGAATGTCTTGTTTTAGAGACTCCCTTAGCATTCAGTGGTGTTGAACACAGTAGGAAAGGTGATGTGTAGCCATTCACTGGATGCCATCAGGCTGTAGGTTTTGCTGATCTGGTCAGAATTCATTTTTGCTATTGCCCTCAGGGATGCCGGAAAAGCAATTCACTCATGCTTTGGGACAGTTGAGAGGGATTGAATTCCTTTGGTTTCCAACATAAGCTTAAGCTTCCATTTGTTAAATAGTAGCTTTGTTTCGCAGATTATTTCTGTGAAATGACTTCTTAGACAAATAGAGAAACAATTGATATTTGTCAGTGCAAGCTCACTTATAGAAAATATCATTCAGATCTTAAGCAAAACATAGAATGCTGTAGAAGACAGTATTTTGTGGATGATCAGTGTGTGGTTAAGACTGACATGGTGCTCTCAAGTGGCAGGGATGTCCTTTTTGAGAAGATGATTATAATAGAGAGACCCTGTGTGGAGGACTCACACACGCGGGTTGGAGCTGGCACTGCCACCAAGGTGCCTTCCTCCCAGGACGGAGCTCTCAGCCCTCGGTTCCTTTCCTTTGGAGCCCCTTGGGGTGTGTCACAGAACTCTCCAGGGCTGGAATCTTCCCTTTGCTTCTCCATGTGCCGTGGCTGCATAACTCTGAAGCTACTTTAGAAAGGGTACTTGCAAATGCACCCTGAAATGTGATACCCTTCATGATGACATAGAAACATTTTAAAGAGTTTTAATCATAGCATTTTTTACATGATATAAGTAATAAGTGCAAAGTGCATGCTGTCATGCAGACACTGTGTAAGCACACCTGGCCTGGAGGAACAGCTGCTCTTAAAATGCAAAATTGTGTGCTGGACTGTTAATACTCTGACTTTCCAAGTGCAGTCTAGGGTCCCGAGGCCCCCTCAGGAGGCCCTGTGGTCAGAACTACCTTCATAGTAATACCACAGTGTTGTGTCCACCCTCATTCCTGCTGTTCCACTGAGGTGCAGAGGCAGTGTTCAGAGGCACACACTGAACACAAGAGGCTAAGAGAGAGTCACACTGCCTTCCACCAGACTAGAAATAGATCTACCAAAAAAAGGTCAATCACTGATGCTACTTTCACTGATTTTATTTTTGGGAAAATATTTTTTTTCCCATAAAAATATGTTAAATTAGTGCATAATATTTTTGTATTGCTGCTGTAATAAGTCACTACAAACCTGAGAGCTTAAAAGAGCACAGATTTATTGTTCTACAACTCCAGAGTCCAGCATTCTGCAGCAGTCACACAGGCTGAAGCGAAGGTGTGGCCAGGGCTGTGCAGCAGAGGCTGCAGGAGAGCACGCCCTGTCTTTTCCTCTCCTGCCCTGGAGGTGCCTGAAGTCCTGGCCTGCCCGCAGCCCTTTCTTCTGCCCTCCCAGCACACCTGTCAGGCTGATCCCATCATCCTGTCTCCTCCTGACATTCTGTGTGGAAGGCCTCTTGTGGTTATATTGGATGGCCCAGATAATCCAGGATAATCTCCCAACTCAGAGTCCCTTTGCCATGTAAAGGGATGTGTTCCCCGTGCCAGGAGTGGGATGTGGACATAGACCATCATGTGTAATGGGCTGTGATGACTGTTTTCTAGTAGATGTGCCTCCTACCTCAGTGGTCATCTGTCCCTCCTGTAGCCATAGCCAGCTTGCCATCCTCTTCTCCCTGAGAACATTGTGACCCTGTCCAGGGCCAGCCTGGATGACTCAGGACAATCTCCCATCTCAAAGTCACATGGGTAAAGGGTGGTTTGCTGTATGAAGTAATGTTCACAGATCCTGGGATTGATCTGGAGGGCCGTTGTGGAGCCTGGAAAGGTCTTACAATGAAGACATTAGGTTTTAAATGAATGTTGACCAGCTTAGTAATGAATAGGAAAGGCTGGCCATGTGAGCTGCAGCCACCCCCAGAAGGACATTCCTGTAGGCACTCTGCAGGGCCCACCCCTCCCCGACGAGGGCTGGGCCGGTGTTGGCACTACCCACAGTGATGCCTGGGGCTCCATAGTCTGCGGAGTTCGCTGGTGAGTAACGACGTTCATCTTAAAAAGCAGGGATATGGTTCCTTTCTCGCTCTGTTTTTAATGATATCACGGAGAATAGGAAAGGTTCTTATTTCTTTATGTGGTATTTATTCAAATATTTCCCCTCTATTCCTCCTTTTTTAGGTAATGGAAAGAGATAGAAAGTTTGCGCTCGCCCCAGGTGATTCTCTTTGTGTCTCCCCTAGGTGGAGGAGATCAGGAATGGCATAGCCAAAGTAGCTCAGTATGTGGAAGACGTGAAGAAAAACCACAGCATCATTCTCTCTGCTCCAAACCCAGAAGGAAGTGAGTTGTCGGCTGTAAGAAAGCCTGTCTGTCTGTCTTTGCTTTCTCTCCTGCTGCCTACAGCACAGGCCTCAGCTCTAGCGTCACAGTTGGTGGAGCGAGGTGCTTGCATGAACTCCAGTGTCTATGCCTCCACAAAGTATCCCCAAATCTCCGAGTGGCCCAGCGTCCACCCAGGGAGGACCACTGGTGTGAGATCCAAAGCAACATTGAAATGACATTGCAGAATAGTGATTCGACCTGAAGTCCATGTCTTGCCACTTTTGGACAAGAATGACAGAATTTTGTGTTCAGGCCAGTTAGTAGGAGGTGGGTCTAGAAATGGCCTTTACTTGTCAGAGCCCGTGGAAGGACAAGACAGGCCGAGAGGGGCTCGGGGTCTGTGGGAAAGCTCCTGTGAGGTGTGTGCGCAGTGTCTGCTGCAGACAGCTGCGAGCAAGTGAGTTTAGGTAGCTGCGGTTGTTGGCAGTGCAGCATCCCCTGGATCTGCATATGGTTGACCGTTAAGGTAAACTCAGATCTGAGCGAGCCATGGCCACAAGCCAGAATCCAGTTGCCATTATGGGGCAAAATTGTTTAAAAAAAACTAAAAGCAGATATGCTTTTTGTTAGTATCTGTGCACTAGAAAAATAAGAACTTGGTTTTAAATCAAAAGAGAATATACATTTTTTTAATTTTAAGATTTCGCGTGTCTTATAAAATGATGTTGTGGGCTCAGTAGGTGTCCTGTTTCTGACTTAATAGAATGTTTCCCAAAATGTGCTCCTGGAGCCTGGCTAAGGACTTAGATGGTCGGTGACACACACTCTGTGGCCACGCGCATCTGTGGGCTGCTTTGTGGCTGTCTCCTCTTGGAAAGTTTGGCGTCCTCAGCGCAGCAGTGACTGGGGGGTCCTGCCACACAGATGCCTGTGTGGCCTTGCTTGGTCTGACACTTGTGCCCAGGTTACTTTGTATGTGGCGTTTGTCACCACTCTGCTCAGTTCTTAGGGAGACTTCATGTGTATAAAGACCAGATATTCTTTTGAGTAATGTTGCCTCCAAAGCTTTTTTTTTTTTTTGGCCACTAAGAGCAGATATAATTGTTTTCTGAATTCAGAGCTATTGATATTTCAGAGCAGTTCCTTTTGGGCTTTAGGTAAAACTGCTGCTTTTTGTCTGCTGTGTGACCGAGTGTGAACCCCAGAGTTGAAAGCCATGTCCAGAGGCTTACTTGGTCTCTAAAAAGCAAAGTACGGGGCTGGGATTATAGCTCAGTGGTTGAGCGCTTGCCTCGCATGCGTGAGGAACTGGGTTCCATCCTCAGCACCACATTAAATAAATAAATAAATGAAACAAAGACATTGTGTCCATCTACAACTGAAAACAATTTTTTAAAAAAGCAAAGTACAGTTACCCCCTTACCCCAGTAATGAGTCCTAGGAGAAGGAGTTCAGGATGGTGCCTTAGCAAAGGGCTCCTGTCCCCTTCTTGTCCTTTGTTCCCAAAGAAACAGGTGGCTCTGGTTCCTACCAGGTCAAGCAGGAGGGAGAGAGGAAGTGGGAGAGTTGAGTCTCCAGCTGTCCACAGACCCAGGGGACAGGCAGGCTCCTGGGTGCTACCGTGCAGACGGCAATAGTAGTCTTCTCATGTGGTTCTCAAGAGTAGTCAGAATAGCTCTTGCTGACATCTCCAGAGGTCAGCCTTCCCTCCAGTCTCACAGTAGTGGACTCCTGAAGATCTACTGTGTACTGGAATTATACAAATGAAAGTATTCCTTAATGCACAGTGGATTCCTATGTGAATGCCATGTCCCTCTGGAAGGTGTGCAGGTCAGTTCTTTTTGAGTGGTACCATCTAGTGCCATTCCTGGTTCCGGATGCGAGTAGCTTCTCCAGACCAGAAACACCCCATGAGTTTCAGATGCGGGTTGGGCAGTATGGAGGAGCACCCCTGGGGCCTCTGGAAAGGTGTTCACAGAGGAGGCCATGGGCAAGATGGTCTCTGTGCTTTAGTCTCTGGGTTTTTCTGGTTTAATCTAGTACAGATAATCTTTCTAAAGTGTAGCTTTGTGGAACTCTTCCTTTGCTTTGAAAACTTCAGTGCTGATTACTGCTTGTGGAAGAAACCAGAAACTCCGCGGCCTGGCCTGTCTCTGGTCACTTCCACAGAGGGTCACTTCAGCTGGGGCCAGGGCTCCCGGTCTTGGGCTGCTGTGCTGCCTGAGGTCTTCTTGCTGTGTTGGGAGCCTGCAGAGCCTCTGTTGCCTCCCACAGGATCCTCCTTCTGAAGGTGGCCTTGGCCTTCCAGCTAACTCTCCTACCCTCCCTTGCTGTCTGTTAAGTTCTGCCGGCTTTGTGTGTCTTTCTGCTCTTCCATCAAGACTGTACCAGGACTGGCCTCTGGGGTGAGCCTCCCAGTTGCAGGCCTGTGGCGCTCTCAGTCACTGTTGGGAATTGTTTGTCAGCCAGCTGCTGGCACGGGACCTTCACAGAGAAGAACCAGGCCCCTGGTCTGCTCCTGAGGCTCTAGGAGCCAGGCCTGCCTCAGGGCAGTGGGGACACTGAGGACTTGAGGAGGGGCAGGCACAGTGTCTGGCCACTGCCCTGCGGTGGGAGGCAGCAGTGTCTCTGCCACCTGTTTCATCAGGTCATGGGCGGGGGCTGGAATTGTGCCCCTCTCAGGTTCTGGTGGAGAAGGCTCCGGCACTGAGGGCTGTGTGGTGGCTGAGCCCTGTGGTCTGACTTGAAGGCAGCTGGGCCGTGGGCCACCCTTGGGGAACCACCATTTAAGGTGTAAGTTTTTTGTTTTGTTTTGTTTTGGTGCTGGGGAACCCAGGGCCTTGAGCATTTGAGGCAAGCACTCTGCCAACTGAGCTGTGTCTCCAGCCCTGAAGGTGTGGGTCTTCTCAAGGAAAAAGAAGCTCTGCCACGGAGATTGTTTTGTGTAAATTGATTGGACGTTAGTTTCGTCGAATTTTATAGCTCAGTGCCTTCTTTTACATTTTTAAAGAAATAAAAGACGAGCTTGAAGATCTGAACAAAGAAATCAAGAAAACTGCTAACAGAATTCGAGCCAAGTTAAAGTGTAAGTTTGTTTATTTATTTATTTATTTTAAAAAATATTTATTTTAGTTGTAAATAGACCTTTATTCTATTTATTTATATGTGGTGCTGAAAATCGAACCCAGGGCCTCACACATGCTAGGCAAGCACTCTACACTGAGCCCCAGCTCTGGCCCCTAAGTTTAAATGCAGTCTTATGTTTGATTATTGATGGTGGGAATGTGAACTATTGCTTTTCTCTTCCTTACAGTTTTTTAAAAATACTTTTTAAAAAATATTTATTTTTTAGTTGTAGTTGGACACAATACATTTATTTATGTATTTTTATGTGGTGCTGAGGATTGAACCCAGCACTTCCTACGAATGTTCTACTGCCGAGCCACAACCCCAGACCCTCTGCTTCACAGTTTTTAATTAAAATTGTGACCTCTTTAGAGCATCTGTGTGTATTTGGATGCACTGACTCATGGCCAGGGGCTGAAGCACTTAGCATTGTTGTGCTGTTGCTTGATGGCCTTCCGGCCACACTGCAGGTGTCTGAGGACAGCAGCCACCGTGACACTCGGTGTTACAGCCGTGGCTGCTGCCGGCTCCAGGCTTGGGCAGGATCAAACAGAGGCTGCCTTTTCCTGATCTGGAGAAAGATGCGCTGCAGCAGATGTGTGCCTGCCGTGCCTGACCAGGACCAGCCCTGCTCCTGGGGTGACCATGCCATTCAGTGAGCTGAGAGCGATACTCAGGAGCCAGGGCCAGCTGGTGGGGCTAGCACTGCTGGACACGCCAGTGGCTTGGCCCCTTCTTCTGGGTCTTTGCAGTGAACAGAGCTTCCTTTTTTTTTTTTTTTTAGAGAGAGAGGGGGGGGGGGTGTGTGTGTGTGTGTATTTATTTATTTTAGTTGTTGATAGACCTTTATTTTGTTTATGTATATGTGGTACTGAGAATTGAACCCAGTGCCTCACACATGCCAGGCAAGTGTGCTGCTGCTGAGCCCCAGCCCCGGCACCACCTTTTTTTTTTGATAAATCATAATTTTGTACTGATAGTTAATGTTAAGAATTCAAAAGGACTTTCACATCATCTTGGGGATAGTACATCTTTGTCTCTCTTCATCTGTGCCCCAAATCATGGTTCTGGCGACACTCATGTGATCACACATTTACTCTGTCCCGTGGTACACATGGAGCAACTCACAGGAGCACACTAACCACACTCACTTGCCATCAAGAGTATGAGTACCAATAAAACCATGGCATTTTCAGGTCAATGGATAGCGTTGGAGAATATAATGCTAAGTGAAGTTAGCCAATCTCCCAAACCAAATGCCGAATGTTTTCTCTGATGTAAGAGGCTGAGTCACAGTGGGATATGGAGGGGGAGCATGGTAGGAATAGACGAACTCTAGATAGGGCAGGGAGTGGGAGGGGGCAGGGGGTTAGAAATGATGGTGGAATGTGATGGACATTATTATCTAAAACACATGTATGAAGGCACAAATGGTGTGAACATACTTTATATACAACCAGAGATATGAAAAAATTGTGCTCTATTAGTGTAACATGAATTGTAATGCATTCTGCTGTCATGTATAAATAAAAAACTTAATTAAAAAAAAGAGTGCGAGTACCTAAGACAGTCAGTTGTTAAATTTTGTGGTGCTGTGGATGGAACACAGGGCCTTGCACATGATAGGCTAGTGTCCTACCACAGAGCTCCAGCTTCAGCACTTTTTGTTTTGATTGTTTTTGGTAGTGCCAGGGATTGAACCCCTGGGGCACTTTACCACTGAGCTACATCCCCAACCCTGTTTAAAAAAAATTTTTTTTTAAAAAATTTTTGAGACAGGGTATGACAAGTTGCTGAGGCTGGCTTGCATTTGTGAGCCTCCTGTCTCAGCCTCCCAAGTAGCTGGGATCGCTGGTGTATACCACCATGCCTGGCAGTGGTTTAATTTTTTGGTCACTTGTTTGTCCCTACATATATCTTAATGAGATATACAGTCGAATTCCTGGGTTTTAAGTCACTTTGAATAGGTCTTTTCTGTGTGATGATGTCGCTAAATAACTTGATCTATAGTTAGGTTTGTCTCATTTTTCTTTAATTATGGAGATTGCAATTTTTTTTGTGTGTGTGGCACTGGGGATTGAATCCTTGGGTGCTTAACCACTGAACTATATCCCCATCCCTTTTTATTTTTAATTTTTAATTAAAAAATGTTTTAATTATCAATGGGCCTTTATTTTATTTATTTATATGTGGTGCTAAGGATTGAACCCAGTGCCTTGCACATGCTAAGCAGGTGCTCTGGCACTGAGCCACAACCCCAGCCCTTTCATTTTTTATTTTAAGAAAGGGTCTTGCTGAGTTGCTTAGGGCTCACTAAGTTGCTGAGGCTGGCCTCAAAATCATGATCCTCCTGCCTCAGCCTCCTGAGTCAGTGGGATTATAAGTGTGCACCACCATGCCCAACCAGAGATTGCTTTTTAAAACATTTAATTTTGCTTTATAATTATGTGAAGTATTTATGTCATTCTAAAGTAAAATCTATAAAACAAAACATATTCAAAGAATTCGGCTTCCCCGGTGCCTCTTCCAGCCTTATTTCTTTTTTTTTAATGTTTATTTTTTAGTTTTTGGCAGACACAACATCTTTGTTTGTATGTGGTGCTGAGGATCGAACCCGGGCCGCACGCATGCCAGGCGAGCACGCTACCGCTTGAGCCACATCCCCAGCCCATTCCAGCCTTATTTCTCCTTTCCACTCCATGGCAACTGTCTTTGAGATGTATGGTTGTCTTTCTGTGCACATGGATAGCCATAGATACAGGTGTGGGTGTGTGTGCGCGCGTGCGCGTGCACACACACACACACACACACACATATTTACTAAGAGTAGTAAAACAATCTCTCTTGATGGACAGTCTTTCCAGGGGATTATTTTAAAAGATAGCCTATTCTAGTTTTAAGAGAAGATATGTTTCAAAGAGTAAGAAAAAAACAGTTGAGATTAGGCTCAAAATATTTCAGTTTTTTAAATTTAAAAAATAACTCTGTCCTGTTTGTTCCTAGCCATTGAGCAAAGTTTTGATCAGGATGAAAGTGGGAATCGAACATCTGTGGATCTTCGGATACGAAAAACCCAGGTTTGATTTTCAGCCTCACTTAGACTGAAGTAGTGAAGAGTAGAACCTTTTTGTGTGTGGCACTGGGGGTTGGACCCAGGACCTTGCACATGCCAGGAAAGCTCGCTACCACTGAGTCCCATGCCCAGCCTAGAGTAAGTCATTTTACTTTCAAATTCAAACTAATTCTGTCTTTACTGTCGTGTTTATCCTCAAGACATTTTTGTGTGAAAGTGTAGTGTCATTTATCGATGACATCTTTTCCGTGTGGAGAAGTGTTTTCAGCCCTCAGTGGGCTTCTCTTCTGTGAGCAGAGCTCTGTCAGTGGTGTGGTCTTGGCTTCAGTGGATCCACGCTGTGCAGAGAGGAACCAGAGTGCAGAGCCCTCCCTGCAGTGGTGCCGCAGCTCATGAGCTCTGGCCAGCCTGCTTGCCCTCAGCCTTGCTCTGCATTAGTAAGGCCTGTGACCGGGGGAGTCGCGACCTCTTTGAAGCATGGTGGACACATGTGGACAGTGGAGTTGTTTATGAAAGTTAGGGTGGTGCACGTGGTGCCTGCATAGATTCTGTTACAGGGCACCGCTTGGCTATTCTTACTTCCCGTTTGAAGGAGTAGCATAAGTAGTATGAGTTTCTGAACTATAAGGTTTTCACAGACCATTTAATAGAATAATGGTTTTATTATATGTTATGTGTTAATTTTAATCATTTTATATATTAATTGTATGTTCATTGATTTGTTTTTCATGTTCTTAGCATTCTGTACTGTCTAGAAAATTTGTGGAAGTCATGACAGAGTACAATGAAGCTCAGACTTTATTTCGGGAGCGAAGCAAAGGACGCATACAGCGCCAGTTGGAAATAAGTGAGTAAGAAAAACTGTTGAAAATGCTTCCTTGGGCTCGGGCCATAGCTCAGCTGGTAGAGCGCCTGCCTCGCATGCACAAGGCCCTGGGTTCAAGCCCCAGCACCACAAAAAAAAAGAAAAAGAAAAAAAAAAACCCTCCTCTTTCCTTGAGGCCTCACTGCAAAGTACTTTCACTCCAAACTACTAATTCCATCTCTGTTGTCACCAGTGTCATAAAAACTAAAGGCCTCTCCTCGCACTTCCTGGTCCTTGAATCAATCAAACCTGTCATTTATTTACACCAAAAAAATTCTAAGCAAGTGTACTTTATTTTCTGATTATTGAAATTTTGAGAGTTTTAATCTAATTCGGAAACTTCACTCATTATGTGTTTAAGTATTTCTGTCCTGCAGCCCCTGATGGGCCTCTCACAGTTTGCTCCTCCATTTGACCTGCTGCTCTAGCTCCGCCCCCTTTGTAGGAACCTCTGCTGTCCTTTCCATGGGACTTAGTGCTGTGTGGCAGGACAGGCGGGCTGCATGGCTGCATGACCCCGCCCTGACACAGCTGCCCTATTCTTCTGATTCTCCCGGTGGCACTGTTAACAGCTGCTTAGGAAGGCGCATGGGGAGGTAGAAAAGCTGTCCAAAGCATTGGTGCCTCAGTCAGGGTTTAGACTTCAGGCTGAAAGCCTTGTCTCTGAGTGTCGCCACACCCTGAGCGTGGTCTCCATTGTCGCCTCTCAGCCGGGAGGACCACCACAGACGAGGAGCTGGAGGAGATGCTGGAGAGTGGAAAGCCGTCCATCTTCACCTCGGATGTGAGTCCGGCAGCTGCCCCCATCCTTACCCACATGGGTTTTCCTCTCTGTGACTTCCAGACTAGTTGGGAGCTCATTCTTATTCTTATTTTTGTTTTTAAAGATTATATCAGATTCACAAATTACTAGACAAGCTCTGAATGAGATTGAGTCACGCCACAAGGACATCATGAAACTGGAGACCAGCATCCGGGAGCTGCACGAGATGTTTATGGACATGGCTATGTTTGTGGAGACCCAGGTAATCTGGCACCTTCTCTAACCAGGTGCCTCATGCCAGGTCTCACCTTTGAGCCCACTCTTATGTAGAGCAGACATGATTTTGAAGCTAATCTCAAAATTCAAAAGTTAATTATAGTGTTAAGTGTGACTGAGGGCTGGGGCTGGGGCTCAGAGGTAGAGAGCTTGCCTAGCATGGGTGAGGCACTGGGTTCAATTCTCAGCAACATATATACATACATAAAATAAAGGCCCATCAACAACTAAAAAATTAAAAAAAGTGTTATGCTGAAATGTTGGGTACAGCTCAAGGTTCCAACAGCAGGAAGCTTGTCTAGTAAATTGAGTTATGGTGTGCTCGTGTCCCAGTCAGCCGTTTAGACAGCCAGAGGCAACAGAGACTTTCTGCTTGTGGAGAATTTTTAATGAAATATGCAGATGTTTTTGTTAAATTTAAAGAAATTAAGGTAAAGGGAGATACTAAATTTTTATGTATATATCCATTTATATGTGTAAATATAAATTTTTATATAAACACACATGGCATGAGCACAGCTACATAGAACAGTGTTTCCAAAGGAAGGAAATATACCAGTCTGATTAAATCGTGAGCTCCAGGGATGTGGATTCTCCTCTCTGAACACATAGACTTTCAAGACTCCTCTGAGAGCCACATCCCAGTGACCACGGGGAGTGTCTGCAGGAGTAAGCATCAGGGGGAAGCAGGCCACGGTGCAGATAGGCTTGTACCCACAGCATTTGGTCTGCTCTGCGTGCAGGCAGAGAGCAGAGGAGGGTGGGGAGACCCCCTGGGAGCACTGGAGAGAGGTGCCATCACAGCAGGTGACACTCTGTGTAGCCATGTGCCTGGGATGAGTCTGGACTGCCCAATGGCCTTCAGAGCCCTGCCTGGGGCAGTTGTCCCCAGGTGAGGCTGGAGCCTCCCACCAACCCTTCTGAGCAGCCTCTCCTCCCTTCCTGAGAGTGTTTTGGAGGATGCATGCTTCCAAGAAGGCTGACACTGGGTCATTTCCGTGACCACCTGGATTGCTAAGACGGGGTGGGGAACCATTCACACACATAGGTCATTCCCATGCGTTACATCAGCCTTTTAAAGAGCCCTGTTTATTTTGAGGACTTTTATCATAAAAAGTTGTGTGGAAAACTGCAGTACCGTGCATTTGCCACAAGAAACCCACAGCCAGGGATGGGTGGGCAGAGGTACCCTTCTGATTTGGGGCGGACCCCTTGCCGCTCAGGCAGGGCTCAAGAACTAGAGAGGGGTCTGGTGGCGGCTGGGGTCTTATTTCAGGGAGTACATGATACAGTAAGAACAGTAGTTTAATCTTTATAGCTATAGATACTCCAGGACACCCCAGGCTGTCACTGTCACTGTCCTGTGCGGGCGCAGCGCCTCGCGCACCTCTAGGAGAGCTTCTCGCCCCATGGGGCTATCGGGGCTGTGCTGTGTGCTCTAGTCCCGGTGCACCTCAGGGCTTCTGGAGGCTGACGTGTGGGTGGTGAGTCACCTTCCCTCCTCCTCAGCACTTGGCTCGTCTCTGCTGCAGGGTGTCTCCTGGAGGACAGCACCCAGGTAACGCATCCCCCTGGCCTGTGTGGCCCCTACGGGGTCGGGCTGTGTGTGTGTTCATTCATTCAGTCAAGAATGTCAGACACAGCTGTGGTTAGTTTCCTGGTGTTTCCAAGGACTAGCAGTGGGCTCCCGCCTATTGGAAAGCTGCTGGCCTTGTGTGGACTGTTAGGCTAGTGGTAAAGCATTGTGTGACCCAGAGCTCCCCCTCCCATCCTGCTGTCTGTGGGGCTCACTGCCGGGCCTGCCTGGTGCCTGCCCGTGCCTTGGTCGCCAGCTCTGCTGCTCCCTTGGTTGGTTTTGAATGCGATCGAGTTGGGATGGCTTCGCTTTGCATATTCACGGTATCCTCCCTCTCACTTTCCTTACATACGCAGACATGAAGTCCATCTCATGCTCATCGTGTCTGTGTCAAGACTGTTTGGTGGCTCTTTGAAGATACATAGGTGAGTCATTTTGAAAACGTCTTCTAAGGTTGAAACTTTGTGTTTTAAGGGCGAAATGATCAACAACATAGAGAAAAACGTGACGAATGCTGCAGACTATGTGGAGCACGCTAAAGAGGAGACCAAGAAAGCCCTTAAATACCACAGCAAAGCCAGAAGGGTGAGTTCGGTCTCTGACCACCGAGGTGGCTCTCTCTGGCTTGGGTCCAAGTTGGGATGCAGTCACGTAAGTCTGCTGGAAAGGGAGCCAGGAGCACAATCCCTTACCTAGATATCTGGTTGAAAGCTGGTGATCATTAGCACAGTCTTAAAGCACAGCAGGTAAGCGGAGTGTGGGCCACGCATGTTCTCAGTTACAGGAGCTCCTCACAGGATGGAGCCACCACTGACCCGTGGCAGGGAGCACAGGCTTCAGTCCCTGAGTTCTGTTTCCCGGGTGTTATTTGAAGGGACCTAACTGATGGGATTGGGAGTTTGGGAGTCGGTTACATGTTTTATGCAGTAAACATTTATTCCTCACTCAGATTATTTGATAATTGGTTGGAGGAAAGAAGAGAATGATCTGAGACTGTGGGCCTGGCATCTTTTGTGGTGCCCTCAAAGACAGGTGCCCTCTTGTCTGGGATGGGTGTTCCCAGAGCATAGTTGAAAGCTGCTAGCCAGCTCAGGGCTCTGCAGGTCTGCCCCTCGAGTGGGTATGGATTTCCACATTTGGCTGCATCCAGAGAGATGCAGTGAGTAAGCTTGTCAGTGAGTTTCGACATCTTTACCTGAATCTTAGGAGTGTCACCTCATGTATAGTGAACAAGCTCTTCCAAGGAACCCGAAACTGCAGTTGACTCCCACTGGGGTCCAGGAACCGCCTGTGGTGTGTGCTGGCCGGGCTGCCTCTTCCTCTCCCAGCACTGTGGTGTGTGCTGCCCAGGCTGCCTTTCCCTCTCCCAGCATGGAGCACCAGTCTGCGTGGGGTGTTTGTCACACTCACCTTCTCGGAGGGCTGTTTGGCTTCTCAGTGCCACCCACCCTCAGAGGCCATGTGCTCAGTGTGGGCTGGGGCATCTCCGTGGGCTGTCCACAGAGGCTCTCTTCAGTGGGGTCGGCTGGAGTGTGTGCAGTGCGTAGAGGCAACTGCAGAGGCACAGCCTGGCACCCCTGCCGGCTTGGCTGAGTGTGTTCCTTAGATTCGAAGTGTAAGGTGTGGTTGCCCACATTGTTCTGTCACCCTTCTTTAAGACACCGACTCTTAACATGGCCTGAGGGGGAGGTCCAGGTATGAAGTGCCCCACTAGTTCTGGGCACACAGTCGACCTTGACTTTCCTCCCTGTCTCCATGACTCGAGCCTGCCCCTTCAGGGAGGTGTCCGTGGGCAGCTTGGCTCACAGAGAGGAAGGGTGGGGGTGTGGCACATGCTTTTTCACGCTGCGGAGAAGCCGGACTGTGTGCTGCCTGGGCTCAGCAGGCCCCCTGTGTGCCAGGCATGGCTCCGACATCACCCCTGTCTGTTGGGTGAAACACCTGATAGCCAAAGCTGCCCAGCCTGCTGCCTTCACCCCCAGCTGCTCCATGCTCTGCTCTGTCCTGCCTGCTGCTGAGCGTGTCTTCTGCTGACATCCAGGGCTACCCTGGGGGCTGCACAGTGCCCGAGCTTAGGCAGTGTCCGTGGATGGTCATGTCCCTGTGGTGTGTTGGGAGCAGCGATGACGTACTGCCTACAACACAGGCAAGACAAGGCAGGGCTTCCCAGGCAGGGTGCCTGCTCCCAGTGCCCAGGATTGGCTGTGTGGCTTTGTACACACAGAAAATCACCTACTTCTGTCTGTCAGAAATGTACTGAAGCCATGGGGTTATGCGGCACCCCATCGAGGCACCCAGTGTCCTCGAGTGACTGATAATTTGGTCTCTGAGCAGCCTGATCTTGTAAATCACGTCACTCTCGAGAACCGAAAATTACCTGGCAGGAGTCAGCCGATGTCCTGCAACACAGAGTGTAAGATTAGTTTGAGGACCATCCTGTCTCCAGGGACGTGCATCTTTAACGTGGGGATGTGCAGCCAACCATGGGATAACCAATCGCTTTTCTTTGACAGAAAAAGTGGATAATTGCTGCTGTGGCAGTGGCTGTGGTCGCCATACTTGCTCTAATCATTGGCTTATCAGTTGGCAAGTGACGGTGTGGCTGATGCTGGCTCTTGCTCCCGACAGGGCAGCAGTAAGTAACTAACCCACTGACTCCTCCTTCCCTCCCTCGCTCAGGGATTGCCACCGCCCGGCCCTGAGCACTGCCACCATGTGCATGTGGGCAGCTGCCCAGGTCCATGCAGGCCCGCCTCCTGTGGTGCTGGGACCCTCTCACTCCAGCTAAGGGGCCTTCAGTGAAGGCCACAGCTGTGCCAATGAAGATGACCCTCCATTAAGAACTAACATTTAACGTTGTAATCTAGCTCCTAAGTCATTACTTTTAGAATAACGTCAACAACTGAAAATCACTTTGTCAGACACACAAACTCATTTTATTGTGGGATTGGAGGTTGGAGCTGGAGTTAAGGGAACATTGACTGGAAGCGGTCCTCCACCAGCCTCTCCACTTGGCAGGTGTGTTTCCAGGTCTCTGTTGGAGCTGCAGGAGTTGAGTCACATGCATGGCCGTTCTTCAAGGAGTCAGTGTAGAGATCTGGTTTCCCCAAAGTGCCATCGTCTTGTTCACTGAGTTCCTTCCCCGTGCCTGCAGGCTCTGTGTGCAGGGCTCCTTCTGCACTTGGAGTTCCCCTTCCTGCCTGGTGTGTTAGCCTGGGCATTCCCGTCACTCACTCCTCTGCAAGAGCTCTATGACTGTGACTGGAGCGTCAGGGCGCTGGGCATGGGGATGCGGTGCTGGGAACGGGAAGGCAGCTCAGACGCTCGGTCTCTTGGTGCCTTGTTTCTGTTTGTTTAAGGTCAGGGCAGAAAGGGATCCTGTCCTGCCCAGTTCCCTCCTGCTTGTCAGTCTGACTCCTTGCTTGTTTCCCCCTGGCGGTGCTGGGGTCTGAGCCGGGGCCCTCACTTGGCACCCCGGCCCTGAGGTCTGCTTTCTGGGAACATCAAGCTGCACTGCAGTGAGAGGATGAGAAGCTTTTGCAGTCCGGGTCTGACAGGTGCGCAGGCCCAGAGGCCCTGCTGAGTGTCCAGTAGTGTGTGCTGGCTGCTGCTCTTGTCAGCATTTGTTCTCTAGATGTGGGAGGACTCAGCCTGTTTCTATGTGTCTTTCTTTCCTAATGCTTTCCTCTTGGCTTTGTTGAAAAATGGCATATGTTAAAATAATGGTATTTTTAATAGCTTCATAATTCTAAAATATGAGTTGTATTTTTTTAGCCCCTTGATAGTTGAATGTGGTTGTGCTAAAGTTGCAGTTTCTTGTTTGGGCCCACTGAGATGTACTGCTTTTCATGGATGCTTCTGAGTGTTGTTATTGAGTAAAAGAAGGTTCTTTTGGTGTGACCCCCCTGGGAGTGGGGCTGAACCTGTACCTCAGGCCAGCTGGCCATTTTGCCCGGTGCCTATAAATAAGAAGGAGCACAAACTGACCTCCTTCATGTACGTAGTTTTGGACATGAAGGTGGACTGATGACACTAATTATACTTTTGAAAAAAGCGTTTCCTTTTTTTCTTTCACCCTCAAGCAAATCCTGTCGATGCCTTCCTAGAGTCTAGGCACTTCACCTGCCTGTCCTGTGGGATGGGCAGGGCCCAGGTCTCTCTGTGGAGCTGCCTGATCCTGAGAGCTCTGCAGCCCAGAAGAGACACTTGCCTTACACGGGAAGAGATGGGCCCCGAGGTTTAGGTACCATTGGCAGCAGAGCCAGCCCTGCACCAGCTTAGATGAGATGGCTGTTAAATACATGGACATGGGGTGCAGGCGTACACCTGAATTCCTGCTCCCTGAAAGCCATCGTTCTGCAAGCCAGATGTAGCAGGGAAGTGCACACCTGTGTGGCACCAGCTACAGAATTGCAGGAGAGGGCCAGGCTGGGCCAGAGCAGGGGCCTCCCAGGGCGGCTCCAGGTAGAGACAGTCACAGGTCCTGAGGCACTGGACAAATGGCTGTGGAGGAAGGATGGGAGGCCAGGGCAAGAGGTGCACGAGGAGGGTGCCGGCTGGAGCTCACAGTGAGACGTGGGGGACCACGGGGCACAACACTGTCAGAAAAATCCACGCCCCGTGGACAGGGGGCGCCAAATCCAAAGGGATCTGGTGTCCACAGGTCCTTGGCCCAGAGCTCCCTTGCAGGTGCCGGGGGGTCTGGCCTCGGGTAGCTTCAGGAGTCTTGCTATAATTGACGGCTCTCAGCTTGCTGCTAATTTGGAGCTGCCCAGGTTCAGCAGATGGGATTTATTTATTTCCTGCTTCCATCCTTTCCTGTGCTGGGGCTGGAACCCAGGGCCTCCCTCTCTTTGCTTCTCCCTCAGGTGGGTTTCTGCGGGAGACCCACCTATAGGTGGTTCAACTTTGTTGTGTGAGGATGCTTGCTCACAGGAGGAAATCGCCTTGTGCTGTGCCTGCCCTTCGTCTAGGCCACGCCTGTGGAGGACCGAGTCAGTGTCTGGTTGATCTCTTACACACGTACATGCTTAGACGAAAAACAGGGTAAATGGGATTTTTTAGTCAATGAGAAATAAATTGATTCAAGCTTTTAAAAAGATGTATGATATTAACAGCAGTTCTGGAATTTATTTTAATCAAAGGAAAGTATTTATCAAAGGAAAGGACCTATTATTATACACAGGTAGCCGCACTGCACCATTCCCCTCCAGAGGCAAGTGGTTACTTTAATAGCACATATTTTAAATTAATAATTGGTTTAGTCTAATAAGCACATGTCCCCAACTTAATACTTTGACTGTGGAGTTTTCCTTGTTCCCTACTTTTCTCTGATCTGTAGGGATTCTTAATAACGGTCTTTTATTTTAAAGTATCCCAAATATCAGGATTTTGTTAGGAGATGACACTGTTGATTTCTTTGATATATTGCAAATTAATGTTTTTCTTTATCTTACAGAAAATGATGTTCATTATTATTTGTGTAATTATTTTGCTTGTGATCCTTGGAATTATCCTAGCAACAACATTGTCATAGCAACCACATCCCAGGAGCTGTTTATCCTTGGAGACTGAGCACATCTTCAACAAAGTCTGCCTCCTCTCTGCTCTGAGTGACTCTCAGACCCTGCACTGTGCTGGGTGCTGGCTTCTTCCTGGTGAAGCCAGGAGACAGGCACAGTTGGACGTCGTGTGCTGAAAACACCTGCGCCCAAGGGTGTGACGCGGGCCACACAGCCTTGGGCTCCAGATGGTACACTGCAGAGTTGACAGTGTGATGCTTGCTTCAGTGGCCTTGAAATAAGGAATTATTGACAATTTCAATTCTTAAGATATGCAGTGTTGAGAATGCAGGTCAAGTTTAATTAGGGTTACTCCATGTTACGAAGCATTAGATTATTCCCCCCTTCTCCCAGGTAACGTATATTAATTAAGAGGCTTTTTGTACTATGTGTGTTGATGTCCTGTTTACAGAAATGGTTTTTATTATCACAGAGTTGTTTTGTAAGATTTCTATAATTTTAAATGCTTAATATATTAACATCTTCATTTACCGCATTTTTATATGCTAAATATTCCCATGTGAAGGAAATTGGAAGCGTCATAATCTGGGGCCATCTTTGAATGGCCATGCACCGAGTTGCTGTCACCACAGCAAATGCTGGCATCAGAGCCTTTCTGCCTCTCAGGTGCCTTCTGTGGGTCTTGACTTGGGGAGTGTGATGTGCCTGCTGCCCTCCAGGAAAGTCTGACTGTGTAGTTAGCTCATTTCTACCTGTTCCAGGACTCACGGGAATAAATTATTAGTTACTGCATTGTACAGACAGTGGTCTCTTCTTTGTTCATTAAAGGTAAGGGTTGTGTTTCCCTGACTGCATTGATGGTGTCTGAATTTAAGACAGTGATGTGACTGAAATTTAGCCACTCTCAAAACTCAAAAAAGAGATTATTCCTAGACATTGAGAAATTCTCATAAATATAAATGTACAAATCATAAATGTATAAATCACTTAAAGCCTTTTCCCCCCCACTTAAGTGTCAGGGGTGCTTTACCACTGAGCCACATCCCCAGTCCTTTTTTTTTTTTTGAGTCAGGGTCTTGCTAAGTTGCGTAGGGCCTTGTTAAGTTGCTGAGGCTGGTCTCAAACTTGCAGTCATCCTGCATTAGCCTCCCGAGTTGCTGGGATCAAAAAGGGTGCGTCACCACGCCTGGCCTTAAATGCTCTTAAGTACCTGATAGTCTGTGGAACTCTCCAAGTTAATTTTCAAAGAAAACTGTTTAAAACTATGATGCTTAAACAGTTTTCTTGCTCATTAATGTTTGAGTAGGATGGCTGAGTGGGTGAATGGACAGCTATTGAGGTAGGAGCCAGTCCTGGGCACACGAAGATGCCCAGCGTCTGGGCAGCTTCATGCTCCGAGAGCAGATGAGCCCTGACTGTCCCTTGGCGTTGTTGGGTCTGACCTGAGATAGACGTGCTGATTCTGTCACCAAGTGTGAGTGCTGCCCCTGATTGCCCAGCAGGGAGCTCCCTGTTCACCCGCGCACACCGTCCAGCTCGGGCTCTGGCTTCTGTCTTTCCTCACCGCGGACCTCCTAGCACCCAGGTACCTTGGGATTCTGGCTGTACTCTGTGCTGGTCTTGGGGCAGCTGCTGCAGGAGACACCCTACCTGTGACGAGGCCAGAGGCGTGCCCGGCTGGAGGTGCTGCCACCCCTGCGTGGGGGTGTCCCAAGCCCACCCTGGACACCTCTCCACTCTTGCGCCCTGTCCCTCTGAGCAGCCTCAGCCCTCGCCTCCCTCCTGCCGCAGCCGAGTCTTCTGGTGGCGGGTGGGCTCCTGGGATTTTGCACATGCTCTTTGATTTGTGCTTTGGATGTTTCAGTCCTTTTCAGGGGACACATTTACTGCCTAAGTCTCCTGTCCCTATTTGGAATCAGAGTTTTAAAAATACATTTGCAGATTAACTTTTTAATCATTTTAAAAAAATACCTTGTGTTTACATTTAAGAAGTTCTCAGGAGCTAAAAGAAATACTCAACCTCTGTCTTATGATTCCTGGAAAGATTTTTGGGAGATATTTTGTTGTATGTCCATTAATAAATTGTTCTTCTAACACTGTTACCTGTTGTCATTATTGTGCAGGGCATGAACTGATCATTTAAAATGTTATTGATGAAAATTGTTTAATGTTGTCACAATCTTTTGTTCATGTTTAGGACGTCACATGAAAAGCTGGGGACACGGCACAGTTTTCCTGCCCTGGCTTCTGTCCTGAGCATGGGTTCTGCTCTCAGTCTTCTTTGCGTGTCTCATGACTTCTGTCAAAACTGGGCCTTTATGCTCTGACTGTCCCTCTGGTCCTCCCGCCCCTTCCCACCCAAAAGTCCCCTTCCACTTGGGGTCTTGTTTTAGATTCCACTTATGAGAGGAAACTTGGGATGCTTGTCTTTCTAATCTGGCTGGTTTGCTTGACAGGAGTCCCTCCAGCCCACCCACTCTCCTGCAGACCCAGGTGGTAGGTAAGGCTCTGGGTGCACACCACATCTTCATCCACACCTCGTTGGACACCAGGGTGGTGGATAAGGCTCTGGGTTCACACCACATCTTCATCCACGCCTTGTTGGACGCCAGGGTGGTAGGTTAGGCTCTGGGTGCTCATCACATCTTCATCCACGCCTCGTTGGACACAGGGTGGTAGGTAAGGCTCTGGGTGCACACCACGTCTTCATCCACACCTCGTTGGAAGCCGGGACTGGCTCCACAGCTTGCCTGCTGTGGCTGTGCCCAGTTAGACGCTGGCCTGCAGCTGTCCCCGCCGCGTGCTGACTTGGTTTCTTCCCCAGGAGTGGATGGATGGCACGGGCCACCTGAGGTTCCACAGCTGAACCGTTGTTTATTTGAAGTCTGCCTTCCTGGGGCTGTCCTGTGTCTGCACAGATGTGTGCCAGCCAATGACTTGACAGGTCAGGGTGGGCCACTTTGTCCGCTGCTGTGGCTCTTCTGAGGGTGGGACAGGCTACATTCAAGTCCACCTTGGCCTTTCTGGGCCCTCTGAAGTAGTCACCGTGGTGGGGCAGTGGGTTGTCAGAACGGGGCCTCAGTGAGGCTACTTCATGGTTGCAGTGCCCACCACGAGGACTTGGCATCTCTTATCTCTAAAAATCCTGCTTCTCTTGTCCCTTCAGGCCTGTGAATGGCGAGCCCTTCCTGTTGTTGCCAGTGGGGGACCTCCGGCATCCACCTTCGTTCCTCATCTTGCCCGTGTCTCTTGAGAGTGGCCAGATGGGACCATGGGGGAGGGGGTACACAGATGTATCCACAGTCAGAGTACTTGGAGAACGCTCCCAAGTCAGCTGGGAGGGATGACCATCCCAGCAGAAGGGTGTTTAAAGAGGGGCAGGCCATCACCTGGGAAACGCTCTGCATGTGTGGGCCAACAGGTGCTGGGGTAAAGGCCAGAGGGAAGGGGCTCAGCAAGTTGGGAGGCAGGAGGTGGCCAGCTGAGGGGTTGTGGGAGGGTCCCAGTGTCAGATCATCAGGAGCCTGCCGAGGCCAATGGAGGGTTTTTTCCTGTCCTTTTTAAAGGGAAATGAAGGAAAGGGAGTGCAACTGGGGAGCAAGAGGCCAGGGAAGTGGTGGCCAAGTGTGGGGTAACCAAAGGTGACAGCAGAGGTGGACAAGGTTATGGTGCCTCTTCTCTAGGAATCTGGTTACTCCTAAGTAGTGGATTTAAACAGAGCCTTGCTGTGGTCTTGACCAGGTGTCCAGAGGCCTTTCCAGGAGGCACAGCTGCTCACGGGACTCTTGCTGTACCTTGTCCGTGGACCAAGCTGCCTTGCACATGGCCGTGCTCAAGCCTGGCTCACGGGCACCCAGCTATGCCAGGTTACATCCCCTCACCCAGGAACACATTCCCTTTCTGCAGACATGGCCCCAGCCCACCTGTGGGTCTATGAGGAAAGTGTGAGCAACTCGAAGGAACACCAGCATGACTCAGGCCACCAACCGCACCAGGGCCACTGGGCAGTGCCAGGCATCCTCGTGGGGACCCACAGTGTTATCCATGCATCTCCACCTCCTGGAGTGGCATCTGCCTTGCCACTGGGGAGCCTAGGAAAAATGCCCTGAACTCCTGGGCCTGTCACAGGTCAGTTCTCCCACATCCTGGCAGTAGACGGCATCCTGGTCTTTGACACCTAAGCAGGCTTGGGATGTCTCTGGGACCTTCCCTGAGTGCCCATCAGCAGAGGGAACAAGCAGCGCCCTCAAGTCCCCACCAGAGGGCGGCTTTGAAACACTGTTTGATTCCCTTTGGGCACATTCGTGCAGTTAACCTCTGCAGGAGAGGAGACCAAAGAGAGCAGCCAGACTGGATGGGCCCTGCTGAGATCTGAGCCAAACAAAACAACTGTAAACTTTGTTGAGGTAATCAGGTAAATATGAATGTGCACTGTGTAGAGAGCGGGCCATGCCTGCCCCAGTGACTCTGTGGTGAAGAACAGCAGCTCTCAGGGTGTGCCTGCCCTGAGTGACTCCATGGTGTGTAGGACAGCAGTCCTCAGGCTGTACCTGCCCTGGTGACTCTATGGTGTAGAACAGCAGCTCTCAGGCTGCACCGGCCCTGGTGACTCCATGGTGTGTAGGACAGCAGCTCTCAGGCTGCCTGTCCTGGTGACTCCATGGTGTGCAGAACAGCAGTCCTCAGGCTGTGTCTGCCCTGAGTGACTCCATGCTGTGTGGAACAGCAGCTCTCAGGCTGTGCCTGCCCTGGTGACTCCATGGTGTGTAGAACAGCAGTCCTCAGGCTGTGCCTGCCCTGGTGACTCCATGGTGTGTAGAACAGCAGCTCTCAGGCTGAACCTGCCCTGGTGACTCCATGGTATAAAGCAGTAGTTTGCCATGAACTGCTCTGATATTGAGTTTCAGTGTCGAGGTGGAATGATTGTACACCTTGTTTGTACAAGTAAGTAACCACCACCTGTCCAGCACTATCAGAAGGTTTAAACTGATAAATAAATCAGTCATACCAATAAAAATGACTGCCTGTGAACTTTTTGAATTAATCTGAAGCACTCGGATACATGGGCATTTGACACTTAGATTAGCAAAACCAGGCCCATGAGAATAGTGAACACACTAGACCACCAAATGAATCAACTCTCTTACTGAAGGCCCGTAAGGGAGGAGCACCTTGAGACTGGACACAGAGGCACCTGGCCCTGTCACCTGTTCACTCATCATGAGCCGTGCCCAGGAAAATCCCCACAGTGGACCCTGGCCCAGTGTGAGTTCCTGACCAAGTTCTTGGCTGGTTCCCATTCTTAATCTTATCAGACCACCTACAGCCACTCTGCATTGGTATCTGTTCTCTGCCTCCACTCTCAGTTCAGTCCTTTGAGCCTTGGTGATGCCTTAACCCTTCTTAGCCTCTCTGTAAAGTGTATGTTACTGAATATGTTATCTACCATCTATCCCCCCCCCCCCCCCCCTCTAGTTTGCTAAAGTGTGAAGCGTGACTTGAGTGCTGGAGATACTAGAAATTAAGATAGGAGCGAGAGCTGCGATTGCCTGTCCTGGGCCTGCCAGGTGGCCCCTAAGTTTTCAATGAATGAATTCCTCTATTCAGTGGACTGTGACCCCGTGGAGAGACAGACATGTGTGGTCTGCGTCTGCGACAGCACACTCCAACAGGCTGCGTGTGGGCAGGTAGTGAGGAAGTTGTGGTCTTGTTGGCCGTGACAATGTCACAGGTGATACCATGTGACAGTGGGGTCTGTTTCACAAGCACCAGGAGCACTCCCTCTCCCACTCCCAGGAGGCCAGACCTCTGGCCCCGCAGGCTGCTGTGGAGGGAGTGGGCCTCCAGCTGCTTC